GGTGGTAGACATGATTGAAATAAAATGTCAGGGACAGGCTGTCTATACTATACTGTTCTATTACAGTGTAAGTGTGAAAGGCAGCAAGAACAGTTACCCCCCCTGGAAAAAATGGTTGAGGATGAAGGAAACTCCACGTTGGCTTCACATCTCAGGTGCAGAATCCATTTTAAATTCTCTTCTACAGTTTAAATATAAATTTAAAGATAAAGCGGCTCAAAGGATGTCAATGCACTTAAAGCTCATTTATGACACCTTATGAAGGATCATCTTTGCACAACAGCACAGTTCAGCCACAACATTTATTAAGAAAAGAAAAAAGAGGAACTTCTTGAAATATTTGGTGCAGGACAAAATGAGCCTCAGGTTGAGAAATGAAGCAGAACTAAACGTTTGCCCTTCCTGACATGGAGGACAGAGGAGCCTTTGGTTTCCCCATGCATTTCTCAGAGCATTTCTCAGGTTTATTACAGCTCTTCATCGGAGCGGAGGCATGAAATCTCCTCACAGCTCCCACATTACAGCAAAGTGAAAGAGTATGCAACACTCTACTACATAACTATCAAATACAAAGTCAATCAAGGTACGAGACAAGAGAGGAGGAGATATGAGATGTGATTGAGATGCGATTGAGATGCAAAAGGAAAGAGGAGAAAATATTCAGGGACAGATTTCTAACAAGGACAGAGATAAAGCTGTTCAAAAAAGGAGGGGAGATCCTGCCTGGTCTCAGACTATAGATCTCATTGATCGCTACTGATTGTGACATCCACCCCGACCATCAGACAAGACATGACAACATGTCCATCTGTAAGCTGTTATGTAAATGTATGTGTGTTTGTAGCACTGTTACTGTTGTTACTATTTTATAGATTGCACATCCAGTATGAAGTCTAAGAACATGATGCAGCTGTTCCACTGTGGGGTTTATTTAATCTAAAAGCATTTTATGTTAAATCAACGATCTCCATGATCAATGCTCTGAAATATATTTAGGGAATCTTGCAGCAGTCATTAAAGTTTGAATGCAAACAGCAGAGAGAGTTGATTGTTTATGTCCCAACACCCAAATAACTAAAGGTCAACTATATATTTTTACATGAGAGAGAAACAAAATGTCCTTCCATTGTTGTGCTTATCATAAAGTTATAAGCAAAAAACTTTAGAATTGACCCCTTATTTGACTGGAAAAGCTCTGGACCAACAGGTACAGCATATACACAAGTTGATAATGAGAGTCCTGCACTGACTTGTGGTGTATTCACACACGCATACAACAGAAATTTATGAAAATAATTTCTCAGAAATCTCAGAATGTGACAGCAAAATGACAGATTTTCTCATCCCAACTTTCCCCTTGTATAAGCCCCCTTGTTGTCCCAGTGAAGTCAGGGTGAGCCATTGTTGACACAACAGGAAGTATTCAGGAGAATCCATCCAATCAAGCTAGGAGGCCGGCTTGATGACTTTTATATTCGTCAACCGATAAGCGATCATCGTGCACATAGTGAAGCTGATTCATGTATGTTCTTCGCCACTCTTTCATTAAAACTGTAAGTGCTAGGGCCCGACTGATTTTTGGGGCCGATAACCATACGATATCTGGGAGAAATAAAATTCCCATACCTACAGTATATATCAGCTGAAGACCTTTCATTGGTCTCTATTCCTTCAAACTTGTCCTAATAATTACACAACAACAACAAAGCCTCAAGTGTCATCTCCTCAGGACTTGAAGCCCAGGAAAGACTTATTCATGTTGGTGAGGTGTCAGACGTCCACCCAGACCCTTCTTGTCAGAGGGGCTTGGCACAAACCATTAACCGTCTTCAGATGATTGTAGTTAGAGCTCAAAGACAAATGTAACGTTTTGTATGTGTGAATGCCGGAAAAATCTAAACTGGTCCAAGAAAAGGAAACCAGAACCATCTTTAAAGAAAAACTATGGCCTCCAGAGATCATTTTAAACACAGGTAGGAAACCCCTCCCCCCTCTCTTTTTCTAAAATAAGTCTGTCACCTTTCCTTAAATCATATAGTTTCATTCTTGTGACACATAGAAGCTCCTGAGTAAGCTCCATTCATAAAAAAGACTGTAAGGATTGTAGTTGAAGACCCCCGACCCTGATCCAGTGGTTCCTACAGGACTCCCCTTTGGTAGATGAAAATGTCTCCGTGAGGCATGCGAGTTAGTGCTGTAATGCATGTGAAGTTAAGGAACTGGAATATATAACATCCGAGACACCCTGTGGTCAAACATCTGCTGTCTCCTCTGCAGTATTTTACAGGGACACCCATCTCCCCTACACGAAGCGTAGCCTGCAGGCCTATATAGTCACCAGCTTTAAATAGACACACACACACACACACACACACACACACACACACACACACACACACACACACACACACATGGCTGGAGGATGCGTCCCTGCTTTTGGTGATCATTATCATACCAGCTGTGCATGGGCACATCAAAAAGTACGTGAGACGATACGACAGTCTGACGGTTTATCACAAAGGATTAAAACAAAACAAACACGCAGCCCTGTTCAATGTGCCATCTGTGTTTAGCATCATAACTATCAAACCAATCACCAAGATCTCATCTCTCTGGATCCATGCTGCTAGATCCCTCTTCCTGTGAATGTCATCTCATTAACATGTATGAGGCTGTATTAGGTCATTATTAAACAATGTTACATAAGCCATGACCGTTTTTATTTTGGTGACATAATGGCCATGTGAGGTGATCTGAGGAGCCGCATGATATAAACCGATCTGTCAAAAATGTGTTGTTTGTCTGTTGTATTTTTATTTTCATCTTTATTTTTTATTTTTTGTCTTTGTGTATTTGTTCTCGCTTTAGTTGTCATGTCTGTTCACCTTATCACCAATAATAAATAAATAAATAAATAAATGGTACAATAACCTGGTCATCATTCATTGTGTTTTTTGAAGGAGAAACACACCCTGTATTTTTCCTACTTCATGGTCAACATAGATAGAATACTTGAGGGTCTTTGAGTAAAAAAAAAAATAGGTTTGTCATTGAATTTTCAGCAGTAGACTGCTTGAGTTTGTCAGTGTTTGCATCATCAAGTCACTTCAACAACTTTATAGTGAAGCCTGATTGTGACTTCTACATTGGTTCTACACCCTCATGAGCACTACACACTGGTTGCGTTGGTGTGTCGGTGTAGCTTTGCAACACTAACAAACGCTCATTCGCAGTGCGACGTCTATGCTAGTGACATCACCAGTTTCAGGTTTCTGCCACATTCTCTGCATGTTGGTGGAAAGGTAACCATGGCGACTGAAACCGACTGAGTGTATTATATGTCGGAGTTGGAGATGATAAATATTGAGCAGCAGTTGATTATTCTGAAATTATCGCCAAGAAATAAGAGAGGAGACATCAGAGGAGATGGAAGTGGGAATGCTGTAAATGCAGGAAATACCTGGAACATTTCTACAGGTACATTTTTGAGGAGTCCGGCTACGAACATAAAGGCATAAAGTCTCGCTCTGGTCTAAAAGAAAAAAGCAGAATAAGTCACTCTTTCAAAATTATATCAGAATCAAACCCAATCAGGGGAAATGTAGAATCTTGATTCACACTTCAGCATAAGAGGTAAGAGAAGCAGACGACAACTCTCACATCCTGGAGCGCTGACTGCTTAGTGGAGGATCTGTAAAAGTGTGTGCTTTGTATTTGTTGTACAGACTGTGGTGTTACAAGGTAAATAGTCTAGGGCTCTAGGGCGGCTTTGGATCAGTGGGAGTCGGTCGTCTCTCAACTGAAAGGTCGAGGGTTCGAATCCCAAGTCTCTCCCGCTGCTTCATCTGCGGCATGTGAATGTGTCTGAATGGATGAGTGAATACTGATGGACTCTTTACTCAGCAGCCTCTACCATCAGTGTGTGAATGGATGAGTTAATACTGATGGACTCTTTACTCAGCAGCCTCTACCATCAGTGTGTGAATGTGTATGAATGGATGAGTTAATACTGATGGACTCTTTACTCAGCAGCCTCTACCATCAGTGTATGAATGTGTATGAATGGATGAGTTAATACTGATGGACTCTTTACTCAGCAGCCTCTACCATCAGTGTGTGAATGTGTAGGTGTGACCTGCGGTGTAAAAGCGCTTTGAGTAATCAGAAGACTAGAAAAGCGCTACACAAGCTAAGGTCCATTTCCCTGACACTCTAAGAAAAAAACACACTCATCAACTTTGGAAAAGAAAAGACAGGGACAGATGACGTGTAGCAGTCCTGAGACGATCACTGCCTTCAGTATCTGCCAAGCAGCCAGCCCGTACCAGCTGGACCAAACATCACTGCAAGGGGTCTGATTGGTCAGGGAAGAGAGGGAGGAGAAAATGTGTAGGAGCTAAACAGCTTTTTTTGGAAAGCAGGTTTTCATATAAAAGGAATTACTCAACATGAGCATCATATCTATGGTAAATGGACTCGAGCTTATTTAGCGCTTTTCTAGTCTTAAAGCACTTTTTACACCGCAGGTCACACCTACACATTCACACACTGATGGTAGAGGCTGCTGAGTATAAAGACCATCAGAAGTAATTAATCACATTCATACACCCCCGACAAAGCAGTGGGAGCAACTTGAGGTTAAGTGTCTTGCCCAAGGACACATCGGACATGTGGCTGCAGGAGCTGGGGATCAAACCCTCAACCCTCACCAACAGATGAGAGAGATCTTTTTTTTTTAAACATGCCTGACACGTGGCCGCATATTAAAAAAACTGATGGTTGCTATTATTATGTTAAATGTAATTTTAAGAAAACATTTCAAGCTGAAACCCAATTATGTCAAAATATCCAAACAGCTGATTTTGCCTACCAGCCCACTCATCTGTAAGTCCCCCCCCACCCCAGGAGAGAGGACGTCCCTTCAGGGATCAACATCACATTAAGAGTCAAGCATCGCTTCCTTCTCACGTCTCTGTTTATGAACGCTGAAGGCGACTTACCGCTCTTCATGTCCTTTCCATCCAGTAAGGGTCGGTAGTCGCTCTTGGAGATGCTCTCTCCCACCTTGTCATCGAAGCTCTCTTTTTCCAGCGAGGCCACGAAGTCTCTCTTCAGCAGGGCATCGGCAGGGGCGCCACCTGGCACCCCGTGTCCACCCCCACCCAGTGCATCTCGCAGGCTCAGGTCCATAGTCCTGTTACTGGAGACAGAAAGGGGAGTGACAGGTGTGACTACTTTTATTATACCTTGTTGTGTTTTTTTAACCTGCTCCACCTCAACTGTGTCAGACGGGTTCAGTATAAATGCTAAGATGGACTAAATGCAATGTGTAGGTGTGACATGCTGTGCTTTTACACTGCAGGTCACACCTACACATTCACACACTGATGGCAGAGGCTGCTGTGTAAAGTGAACATCAAAGGTAACTTATCCCATACCAATGAAGCAGCGGGAGCAACTTGGGGTGAAGTGTCATGCCCAAGAACATATCGGACATGTGGCTGCATGAGCAGGGGATCGAACCCTCAACCTTCCGGTCAAGAGACGACTGAGCCGGCGTCGCCCCATTCCAAAAATGTCTTCTGTGACACTGTTTTACTTCCACAATAACAATGACAAGTTCAGCAAAGTTTAGAGGATTTTGAAATAATAAAACAGCCTCAGTCTGGTTCGCTTCAAGTTAAAATATATAAAAGCCAAGTGAGTCCAGTAGATCACCATGTCTGGCCACCCGAGCCCACAGAAACTGCCTTTAACTGTCAGACATGACAGATTTGAGAATCCTGTCAGACATTGTCAGACGTCTAAACCAACGCGAACTTCATCTGCAGACATAAAAAAAACCAGTTTGACGAGAGATAATAGAGCAGTGCATTCTGGGAATAACAGCAAGACACACTGATACTTCATTGAAAGGTCCACACTGTTGTTTAACTTGGACACTTGTGTTAACAGAAAAACTCAATCTGTGAGACGGAGTGTGTATGTATGGATTAGAGCTGGAGTCATTCCACCTGCTGAGTGCATCAGACATGAAGCAGAACTGGTGACAGTGTGACCCCTGAACAAACTCTCTGTCCCTCTTTTCTGTTTGTCCCTCTATCCTGGCTCCCAGCAAACAAGCTGTCATTGTCCTGCAACGATACCACACACACACACACACACACACACACACACACACACACACACACACACACACACACACACACACACACACACACACACACACACACACAATGGCCAGTAGCCAGTATGAGGACATACAGTAGAGTGTTAGCAGGCCTTGAGAGGAACTGTAGGCCATTGTTTCAGAGGCAGGACAGAGTACAGTGAACACCTCACACACTCTCACTTTGGGTATCTACCTCTTTAAAAGTTTTTTTTAAACCTTTGGTTACGCCCACATACTCACATCTGATTTCCTGTAGTTGACTCCAAACTGTAATCATGTTTCTCTTAAATACTAACAAAGTGATTTCTAGTCACTGAAAGGGCTTCACTCACATTTGAACTTTTAACGTCACACTCGTACATCAACACACACTGACCATGCACTCAATAACTCCATCGCTCCATTACAAAAATGAAACAATCACAAAAGAGGACTTCCTACCCTCTGTTACCCTCTTAGTGTATTATTCTGCAGTATTTATCGCTCCATGGAGAGGTTTCATAAGACGGAATATTCAGTGGCCTGTCGCTGGTGCTCTTTGTTTCTCTCATCACACACAATCAGAAATGATATTTGTGTGATTACTAAACATTTCTTTAGTTTTCCATGGCAAACTGAGTGTGACAGGCACAATGTTTTACTACTGCTATGGCTCTAAGTCAGGTTGGTGAAGGATATAACAGTCAATCTGAGGTGAAAGTCGGGGGTGGATGGATCAAACAAACCAGGTAATTCATTCAGGAGACTGGGATCCTTCTGTTGTGTGAAACAAATAGAAAACGTTGACTACTCTAAAGAAGTTGACTTTCTTTAAAGCCAGTTTGGTTACTTTGTTATAGCTCATACAGAAGATAGAAGATCTGAGCAGGTGATGGCTTTTATTTTGAAAAACTATCCAGGCATTGCAAAAATGTATCATAGCTAACTTGACCATGCCCCGTAAAAGCTGCTATGCGGTGGAGAATCGAATGATCGCTTAAGTGTGTCAGACTCCGCTGTGGTAGGTGGCTAAATGACCCTTTTCAGCTGGTCACTGTTGAACCTTCTTCTAGCTGACCTATCATGTCATCACATACAAAACAATCCACTTGTTCTCCAAGTTAGCAAGAACACTGAAAACATAGACAGTTTTACAGCTCTGTATATTTTGTACATACTCTATATATGCCTAACTTTGGTTCAAATGTGATGCCTGCTATCCCTCTAGCTTGGTGGTGATATCCAAAGTCAGATGACAACTTGACTTCTGCTATGCTACACATCTATGGTGTTCCACTTCCTGTGGAAACTGTGGAGCATGTGCATTAAAGCAAGGCCAGTTTGGGTGTGATTGAGGCTTAAACATGCAGGAATGAATCGATCCCCAACCACATTATCTAGACAAAGAGGTTGCGCTGAGGCCGGACTCAGAGCAATTTACGGATTAAATCTTTTTTTACACCAACACTAAACCTTGTTTGATAATGGTGTTTCACAACACTGAAGGGTCAACAATTAGAGGAAAATGTGTCCGTTTTCAGTAATGCTGCTCAAAACACTTTCCCTCCCCTCAACATCGTGTCATATTACGTCACAGAATGAACTCGTTGACTCTGAACTAAACACGCAGCAGTGTGCGGTAGGCTCTACTGTATTGTGTTTTTATCGTTCCATAGTCTTAGACTTTATTCTACCAGTTGTTCAAAAACTGCATGTCAGCTTGTTGCATAATCTAGCTCGACAGGACATTGAGTCCGCTTAATATATACGATCGGTATAGTCTGTACATTGTGTTTTATTTTGACCAGATGCTCTGTGTGTTTCGTTGTCGGACTTCCTGTCCAGGTCGATGTACTCTGTTCAGCATGAGGAGTGCTTGCAACAGGCTCCATCAAAATTAGACTCGATCCGTATTTGCTTCAACTGTGACTTCATAAGCCGGTGTTGATTCAACACTAAGGTCAGGCCCGCTATAAACAACAGATTCAAGGCCAAAAATTTAATAAATAGACTGCAAATAGGAGATTTATGAAATGGAGGTTTCTTCACATATGATAAGACTCTGATCAACATTAACATGATATCAATATTACTTACAAGCATTATGATGTAACTGGTAGTCAGTGACCAGAAAATATATCTGTGAATGTGTGTGAAAGAGACACAGAGAGAGAGAGAGAATGACAGAGGGCGAGAGAGATATGATGATGATGAGGTCGTTGGGTGAGACAGCTGTTGCGCAGGGCTTAAAAACTATATCTGTACCCACAATCCTCTGCTCCAGCAAACACCACCTCTCCCTCCCTGACTCCAACCGTCTGCTATACGTAATCATCTCATCCTCCAGAACACTGACAGTTCACACGCAAGTATACACAAACAAACACAGGCACACACACACACACATTGGCAGGAACTCAAACACATCACTGTGCCACCAAAATACAAGACAGATTGGTGTGTTTTCTGAGTATGTGTGAATATGAACGATCACATAAAATTAAGCTCCACCGTCCTGTTACATCACTTTACTGTAAACCTTATCGCTACAAACCTAACCGCAGCATTCGACACAACTGGACAAAATATCTTAGTTGATAGACTGCTGAACTGGGTAAGTATCTATGGAATGGCTTCCAAACATTTTTTTCTACTTATCTGTCAGACGCTTTAAGGTCCAAATTAGAAACTGTGTATCTTCTTCTGCTCCCCTCCTGTCTGGGGTACCTCAGGGTTCAATCCTTGGACCTATTCTTTCATTATACATGTTACCTCTGGGTCATCTACTTAACTCTTGTTGTGGTATCTCTTATCATTGTTATGCTGACAACACGCAACCCTCTTTCTCCATCAAGCCTTATAATCTTAATAACCTCACCAGTTTCTAGCAGCTGTTACAAATTGGATGTCTGACAATTTGCTCCACCTTAATTCTGACAAGACTCAAGTCGTAGTGAGGGCCCTCAGTGCTTCACAAAAGAGGTCAGGCGGCTTTTTTCATTCGAGAAATATTGCTCAAATAAAACCCATGTTGAACACAATACCAAAGATTTACTGGTGAACACTCTTAGTTCTCTAGGTTGGACAACTGTAACTCCTTCTTATCTGGTATCACGCAATCCTCCTTAACCTGTCTTCAGTTAGTCCAAACGCAGAAGCTAGGCTGTTAACAAAACAATATCACCCTTTCATAGTTACTGATTGACTACCAGTTCGTATTTGAGGATTTATAGCAACATATTAAGTTCAATGTTACGTTTGGTAAGAACTTCAAAATAAAGCTCACAGAATATATTCTGTATAAAACACTGAGGAAGTCTTAGTCTCAAACTAACTTTCATTTAACCTAGTAACAGGAGGCCTTGTGACAAACAGCTACAACGTGCCCGCCTGTCAGTCAGATCAGCCATGGCCCTTATATCATCAAATATCACAGTTAATGTTATGAAATGGTTGACCCTTGATTCGGTTCACTATTTCATGTGTAGGTGCCCAAACTAATTTATCGGGTAATAATTGTGCATGTAATTAACTTATGATAAGTAAGTTTTCAAAAAACGCAACAACTAAAGTGAGCAGTTAATATTTGCTCTGGTTCCATGAGAAACAAACCCAGGGATGGACTGGATTGAAGTCAAATGCTTGTTTAAACCGATCCAAGGCTTCAGACTGCAACTCTCAGAAGCTTTTATGCTCCATCTACCTCACTTTATATGTCGTCCTCTTTCAATTTGGTACCTACCGCATTTAAATGATGTTTGTAATCTGTGTCTTGATGACCCTGGTGAAGGCCACAGACCAAAACATGTCAGTCTAATTTGTTAATAAAGTTGATCTTCGTACTACAAGTGTTGCTAGAACTTTTTGACCTCCTCTATGTCGTCCTCTTTAACAGGACATCAAGTCTTTAGTCCCAGGTGTCAAACAAGCTCCATGAACAAAATGGTTATTTTTCCCTTGTGTGCTAACTAGGGGTGTGCACGTGTAACCAGTTAGTAAATCATAACCGTTTAGGTAAAATCAATAAACGAAAACCGTTTTTTTTTTAA